TAAGAAACACTAGAGCAATTCTTCTGTTGCAAAGCAGGTCAGAATGCTTTTAACACCGGATTCCTATTTGAAATCCCTGGATGTATCTTGTGAATCATGTTTGAATGCTTAATATTCATGGCACCCTGCGGCACTCTTGAAAGGATCTCAAGCCACCCTAGGGTGCCATGGCACCTTGGCTGAGAATCACTCCACTACACCCTAATGGACACCTTAACTTCAAGAAGAAAGTTTATATTCTAAGCAAAAGTCCTGAACAATTCAAGGAGTTATAGTAGCAACCAGCAAACCAGCATGGAGTAGAGCATTTCACTCATGGGAACGATGGTTTTTAAATGGCTTGGTGAAAGAATATCTGATTTTGAGAAGAGCCACTGACAGTTTTCCATGAAAACCCACACTAAGTCTGGGACAGACACCCTACCAAAGTACACTGGACCTGTTGATCCCCCAAACAGCACTGGTGGAGATTTCCCATTGAAGGAGATACGCAATTGCTCTTTTAAAGAGAAGGGGGGAAAAAGGAGTGGAGTGGTAAATGGAATTAAAAGGAGTTGCAATACAAATCGGATGTAGTTAAAATAATGGAATATAAGATACACACTTTAGTATCAATGCAATACCCTAAGCATTAGGGGTGTGCGAAGCAGGCCCTATTCGATTCAGATTTGGCCCAAATCGGGGGCAGTGATTCGATTCATTGATACAGATCACTGTCCCCAATTCAATTCGGCTGAATCCGAATCTGAAGTTCAGAGAATCAGCAATTCAGACAAACACAGCTTTAAATGTTTTTTCTACATACCTTGAGGTACCAGGTGTGGCTCATGAACACTGCGATGCTGGGGCGCATGGGGGGGCCCTCCACTTGCTCGGTGGTGAACCCAGAAGTGGACCGGAAGTACTTCTGGTCCACTTCCAGGTCCACTAGGGAGCGCATGGGGTGACACCCCTGTGCCACCCCAGCTTGGCGAGTGGCCGTGGGGGGACCCTGGGTGCCCCCCCAGACCCAGGAGGCACCAGTTACTGAGCCAGGGGGGGCCCTCAGTGGTCCCAGAAGTGCTTCTGGTCCACTCCCAGGTCTGCTGCTGAGCGCACTGGGGGGCCCCGGTGCTCCTGTGGGACGCTCTAGGCCCCCCAGCATCACAGCATTCGAAAGCCACCTGCTACCTAGAGGTATGTAAAAAAAACCATTTAAAGTTATGTCTATGTCCAAATAGCTGAATCTTTCTGAATTGATTCGGAGGGTTCCAATTCGATTCAGAGAGATTAAAAGGTCTTCGGATTCGATTCGGCCACCGAATCGGGTCAAATCTCTGCCAAATCAAATCAGGGACCAAAGCTTCACAAAGCCCTACTAAGTATCAGCAAACACTTCAGCCTATTATACTATTAATTTAGTTGGTAGGATTAAATTAACAACTGTTCCCCCGGGCACCCCAGCGACAACCAGGACCAATGAATACAAACTCCTGGAAGGCCGCTTCAGGCTTAATACCAGGAAAAACTCCTTCACAGTCAGGGTGTCCACACTGTGGAAGAAACTCCCTCCAGAGGTGGTGCAATCACCTACCCTGGAGGTTATCAAAAGGAGACTAGACAGTCACCTCGCTGGGGTCACCAAACCCCAGTTTTCTTCCTGCCTAGAGCAGGGGGGCTGGACCCGATGATCTGCAAGGTCCCTTCCAGCCCCTCACAATCTATGAATCTATAAATATTATAATAATGTTAAGGGAAAGTGCCAACATTTTTGCACTGAGATTAAGGGCTGCTGCTGTAACAACAAACGCTACAACTGGAAAGTACCATGTAGTTTGCTAAACATTACCTGGCATGCCTCACATGAGACAGTAGCATCAATAAGTTAGCAAGGCGAGTTGTTTGCTGCTGTGAGGAGATCCCAGTTTTGGCAATAACCCACACCAAAGCATCGGTTACTACATTAAGTAAGTGATGGAGCTTCTGGCTGCTTTCAGGCTCTTCTGCGGATAATGGAAACATACCTAAACAAAGATGACAGAAAAGCACCGGCAGTCATGTCTTCCAATTGCAGCATCAATGGTCTTCTGAAGTAACTGTTCAACAGAACCTGGAAAAATACATTTCCAAACCCACTAAAACCATGTTTTGCTGCTCCAATATATATCTACATGCTATTTAACTTCTGATTTTTTATTCTGTGACCAGTTGTCATGCGTTTGCATACTGAATGAGCATCCCCTAATTGAAACCATTAATATTTGCAATATATGCCAAAGACACAGAGCCAGATTCTTGGTTTGATGGCTTGAGCTTATCCTAAGCTGTGCGAAGAGGCACAAGTAATATTACACCACTTCTGCATGCCCTAGTTTGGGTCTGCTAAAGAGGTTACTCTGGTTTGAGTAAGAGCAATGTCTTGATTACTCTAACCTGTCCTGGATATAAAAGTTGCTTCCCACCTCTGAAATATGCCAGGCCCAGGAATAGGAAGCCAGCAGAAACTCGTATGCATCTGTATTTGGTGCTTTGCTGAAACAGATATTTATTGACTATTAGATGAGTCCCAGCCAACTCCAAATTGTGACATGTTGAAACAAATACAGAACTTACAGAAAGACCAGGCAAGCAACCGATTGGGCACAGCTAGGCCAAATGCACAGAGACAGATATTTAGTGAGGGACAGAGCTGTGAATGTTATCAGGGGAATAGTGTAAGTGATTTACTAAGAGGGTCAGTCTATTCTCTTCTGGATGCCCAGGTGTCTGGATTTGATCATTCACGTGGCATTCGTTGCATACATACATCCCAAAAAACCACTTACCCAGAAGTTGGCATTCTACAATGCCCACATAGCCTTATGCACCTGGAGGGCGATGTAGATGCCCAGGTCAATCATCTGTTCTGGCTACAAAGTGAGTACATGCTCCTATGTTTTCCCCCCACCAGATGAGTGGCAAGGCCACTCAACTGGGAAGCTGGATGCCCTGGGTCCCACTCATCCAAGAACAGGTTTGAACCTAGATCCCGATAACTTCTCAGCTCAGCACTCTAACCACCTCACCACTACTTAGCCTTGTCTCTAGCACTGCTTTTGAAGCTCTTCCCCTGGGCAGCCAGGGAGGGAAGGCATGTAGGAGATATATGGGGCCAGGAAGAAGGGAGCAAGTAAGAGGTTGTGTGGCTCTGAGGATTGTGCTGGCTTGGAAGGAACAGAGCCCTAGCTATCATAAGCCTTTATCCACAGTTGGACAGATGCTTGTTCCCTGCCATCAATTTTTTCCCCAAAGACTGTGTAAGCAGCTCAGCTTCCAAAGGAGCACTGGAGAAGGGTGTGAACAGCAGCTCTTTCTAACATGGTGGTTAAAGGATGCAAAAGAGGCCCCGGTCCAAACTTCCACTGGGTGAGGGGGATCCCGGACCACCAGCATCCCAAGTGAGTACCAGGCCACACACCCGTGCCCATTAGTTGTGGGGTTTTGACAGCTCAGTTTCTGGATGGCTAAGGATGCAACATGTCCAGAAGGAGCACAGGTAGAGGCTCTGGACACTACGGCACACATTCACTTGGTGCGACTATGTAGCCAACAGTACACTCTTGTTGCAAAGAAAAGGTCATGTTTCAGGTCGCATACTACTGTAGAATAGAAATATTACTTGCAAATCAAGGGAAATTATTCTTGTATTCTATTCAGTACTTGTGAAGCCTCACCTAAAGTACCATGTCTAGGTTTGGGCCCTGTGCTTAAAACAAGACGTGGACAGTTTAGAAAAATTCCAGCAAAGAACAACAAAATTAATTCAAAGTCTTAGAAACATGACTTATAAGGAAAAACTGACAGAACTAGAATTATTTAGTCAGGTTGGGGTATTATTGTAGCCATGATGGTCCAAGAAATGTCAAGAGTCAAGGCAAGGCTTTGTTGTGATATCTGGTGTAGGAACAACTGTATAGTCGGGAGAGCTGTCAGACAAGCTTTCAGACATCAGACGCCCTTCCTCAGGTCAGTGACCTTGGCTCTTGGATTATTTAGTTTGAAGAAGAGAAAACTGAGGGATGGAGATAGAATAGTCTGTGCTTGCTGGGGACAGGATAAGGAGCAGTGGGCTTTAAATTACAGCAAGGGAAATTTAGGATGGAAATTAGGAGGAGCTTTCTGACTATGAGGGTGGTCCAGCTACCTAATAATAGTGGGGAATCTCCATCCTTGGAAGTTTTTAAGAGCTGGTTAGACAGACACTTGTCTGGGATTATTTCATCAAGGTTGATCCTGTCCTGAGCCTGGGGCTGGACCAGATGATTGTACGGATATTCATCCAAGTGTGTAGGGCTGTGTCTCCATAACAGTAAGACACAGGTTGGCATTCTGCGTTTTTGGGACCTTACACAACCAAGAAATTGTCAGGTAGATGACTAAATCGGGATGTCTGGGCATGCAGAAAAAAAAAGGATTGAAACCCTGAAGCATTAATTATGGACACACAGTGTTAAAAAATATTCTCTCTGCTGACACCAGATAACTATACCAATGGAAATGACTGAAAACACACTACAAGACATTCTGGAAAACTCAACTCAGACTGGAAATTTGAGAGACATGTCAGATATTGGAATCTCTTGCTGAGGGCTCTTTTTATTTCCAGCAGGGGAACAAACCCCAAGATTTTATGTTAATGCCACCCTCAGAATAAGTACATAGCATTGAATTCAGTATACACTGCTTGAATCCCAGCAAAATTATAATAAATACATACTGAAGGGCTTCCCAAAATTCCCAGCACTGTATATACATCACTTTCAGAAATCAATGACTAACAGTACTATTGCTGTGGGCTCCTAAATCAATTAGACACTTTTTAAAAAAATCCCTGTTTAATTGCTTCTGTGTTTAAAAAACAGGCACATGCTAACAGCCACCAACCACCCACAAGAGATCAGCACAACACAAACACTGCAAAGCGATCGATAGACGTAGCCTAGGTTTGCCTGCAGGTGCAATGAAAGAGCCTAGCAGTGCACCAAAGATGTAGATACGTATACATACATCAGTGATTTATAAACCCCATACATTAGAGCTCCGATTTAGGGGTAAGGACCACATTCTCTTTACAGGGATCATCTTTAATTTTTTGTGTAAATATGCAGATCTCTAAAGTGGCCTTTTTTCCCTACCCCCAGTCACCATATTACAACCCCACACCAGAGATGATTTACAAATTGAGGTTTAATTAAACTTAACTTCTCCAAACAAGCAAATAACCCTGCCTGAAGAGGCACCACTGCTATTCAGTCTCCCCACCGCCCTCCTGACTGTCCAAGAAGGCTACCCAGTTTCCTGGCTGTGTCCCCTTCAGAGGAATCACAAATCCATCACTGAGAATGCACAGACAAATATGAGCCTGGCTTTCCATTATGAACATGAAGAGACCTTTGTACGTCTGGGCAGTCCTTTACCCATCTTGACAATCTGCTGCACCAGATTTAAGTCACAGAGATTAATGCAGCACGTTATTAAAGAAGGGCAAATCTCTGTTTTCGGTAAAAATCCTGGTATGCCACTTATTTCTAGACAGACAGCAGCTGGACGTGATTCTGAATTGTGCTGGGACTTGGACTGAAAACAGCTGATGTAAATAATATCAGATTTGTTTATGTAGATGTTGCATGGGGGTTTCTGGCGAGAAGACCTACTCTGCAATGAAATTACAGTGGGCTGTGACTCACAAGGCTAGAACAACACTTGCTCATGCTTTGTAAGAGACTGCACACTGCAGATGCGATTCCCAAAGAGCACCTGGCAGACAGATCAGCAGAATGCTTTGAAATGTTTCTGCTGATGAACTGAAATGAAAATGGCCACAAATTGTTAGAGAGGAGGTTCAGGCTGGACATCAGGAGACATTGCTTTACTGTTAGGGCTGCCAGGCTCTGGAAGGGGCTCCCAAGGGAGGTGGTACTCTCTCCTACCCTGGGGGTCTTCAAGAGCAGGCTGGGGTGATATGATCCCAGCCCCTGTTTCTGCCTGGGGCAGGAGGTCAGACCTGATTATCTGTTTAGGTCCCTTCTGACCCTAAGCACTATGATACTACGGCATTATGAAAATAAAACACAGGACAGTCACTCCGTCCAATCAGTTGCTTTACTGGCATCTAGGAAGACAAAGGGGCTTATTACACTGTGAATGCACCAGGATACAGAGTTAGTGGCAAAGTTCCTTGCTGTTCCCCCAGCATCAAAAAGAGCATACTCTTCGCCCTTTGGTGGTCTATATACCCGTGGACAAGGACTTTCAAGCCCATTTTAGTCTGACTAGCAGGGGCCTAGAATTTGCCAGAACCAACAAAAAGTCACTAAAAAAAGTGTTAGCAACAAAAACGCTTTTCCTTTCACTCTATTTCAAGGATCTTTATATCTGGGAATATTTTTGCCATTTTTAGAAAAAGTTTATTTCCCCACCCTATATAATCAGCACAACTTGACATATCTCAAAGGGTAGATGTGCACTTACTGGAATTGAGAAGGATCATAGCTTTGACACACAGGTATTCCTTGTGCTGTAATTTCAGCTCTCGAAACCTCGACGTTGTGGCCAGGAGCATATCAAAGATTTCCAAAATTCCTTCCACGCATTTCCCCTCATCCCTACAGACACATTTAAAATATTACTGGAAATGATGTGCAATATTCAGCTTCCCCCCCTCCCCCCCACAAAAGTATTATTTTATCCTAAGATACATATGAATTTACATTCAGGCCATTTTGTAAGCAGTTCAGAACAACACTTAGCAAACTAAAGTCTTTGACTAGTGATAATCAGTACAACTCTAATGAAGTCAGACTCTTATTTATGTCACATATATTTTAGACAACTGAGATATTTAAAAACCAGACAGCAGAGAAAGATGGCATAAACAGAGAAAATCTTTGAGAATTTCCAAATGAATATGATCAGAGAGAAATCAACTTAAAAGTTGCATTATATGTAATAGGTCACCTCTATTATGCAACTGATTTTTGCTAGTTCCTCAAGTGTTTGCTTAAAACAGGTTTAACTAGGTGTTAAAATGGTCCCATTTCGTGAGATATTTTATCTACCAAGTTAACTGTCATGCTGGACAGCTAGTCTGAGGCACTAGATAGTGGAAGTGGTGCAGGGAATACTAGGATCTCGAATCAGCTAGAATCATCTCTGAGTTCCTATGACCTCGTCATTTGATTTGCAGATGCCAAAGATTCCCTCATATCATGGTCTGGTTCTTAGAAAGTGGCTGGCGTGTACTATCTGAAAAGAGTAGACTTTCAAATCTGTGTTCTGAAAACGTCACTTCTCAAAAGCAACCGGACACAGCCAAAAGCAGATCTTTCAGCAATCAAAAATCCAGGAATGTGGCGTGCAGCACTTTTAGCTTGAGAATTTGCTTATGAAGAGTCTTTTCTGTTTGGTAAAACTTAATTACAATCGGGGGGAGGCAACCTCCAGCATGGGTGTCACAAGTGGCACAGGCAGCCTCCTTGCAGCACTGGTAAATGCAAGAAGAGAGAGGCAGCACAGTGGCAGATAAGCCAGGACACAGAAATCAGAGCATCAGAACAGACAGAGAGCACAGGGCAAGAAGCAGAAGGCAGAGCAGAAGATTGGGTAAGCAAAAGGGCTCAGCATGGCACACTGGAGATAATTTGTGGCATGCCTGCCAAAAAGCTTGACCCCCACTGAATTATATTGTTATTAATTGCAAGTGCTACCGCAGTAAAGCTTCAGTCATGTAGCAGAACCCCATTGTGTTAGCTAATGCAAACCCAGAATAAAATTATCATTCCTGCCTCTCAGAGTTAATATCTAGGGAACAACAGGTCAGTAAAGACAAAAAAAAAGCCAGAGGAAAACTATGGGCAATACTTGGCAGCACAATGACCAGAGATCTCAGCACGCCGGCTGCTAACTATTGCCAAGACTTCATGGCAAAGGAAAATTTTAGGATGGGGTCTGGAGAAGGACAAGCTAGCCCAGCTTGGAGAGAAGTGAACTTGATCAACAAAGCATGTGTGTGAAAAGATGCGTTGCTGCAGGGTCAGAATATCTTAATAAAAACCAGATCAGGAACTAAACACATCTTGTAAACATTTCTAAATGTATAGAACAATCTTGATGTCTGTTAACCCAGGATCTGCTCCCATTCACAGAGATGAGGGAATGTACCTAACTAGCCTTCTGTATTTCAACTGTCCTCTAAGGATTTTCCTACAAGAACCCAACACACATTGCTTTTTCTCAGCGATGTCTTATTGTTACATTGAACAACTCATATGCTAAGACTTCTGAAAGCTGAATTAGCTTCCTTTGCTATAGAAGCAATTTTGCCTTTTAACTATTTGCAGCATATGCGACAACACTTTACAATTGACATAAGCACTTTGCTTTTATGGATCTGAATTTTTGCTTTTTACTCATGTGTCAACAAGTTTAAACATTTTAAAGCCAGCTTGGACAGTAGATCGCTACACTGACTTTTCACCTTGAGGAAAAAGGACTCCAGTTTTGATCATGTCTTGCAGAAAAACAGTCATGCTACATTTCACAGATTTAGCTTGCTCTGCTAAGGAGATGCCTGAAAATAATATTTTCACTTGTAACTAATGAAAATTAATCTATAGGAAAAAATTCAGTTGTCCTTCTCTACACAGTCAGAAATTAATGTTTGGTTATGGATGCAGATGGACAATATAAGTAAGGCTTATGTGATATGATTTGGTCAGATGTCTAGTTTTTCTGGGAGAATCAACTTAATGGCAAAAACTAACACACACAGTATTGAATTTAAAACATTAAGTTATATGCTTTACATTTGGGGGTCTATAGATCTGGACAATGACAAAAATAAACTTAAGCCAATATTGGTAAATAGAACATGATTATTTATATGACCAGAACTAAAGAGTTCAAAAGTTTCTAATTCACTTGAGAATATTCTTTATGTTTGGAATTCTTGATCCATTTTAGAGATTAGGGACCTCAAAACATTACCATGGTAACATCATTTATTTCCTTTATTTTAGAGTGATACATTAATAACATCCCTAATGCCTACCCACTCATTTTCATCCATATGCTGAAAAGCAATGCAAGCTTAAAAATCAAATATATGCATGTATATAAATATATATATGTTTTTTCTTACCTGTCTAAAACAAGGTCTGGTGCAAAAATTAGTTTGCCGGGATGATCAATGGATCTCCACATCAGACCCACCATTAAAACTTCCATCCAACAACTCTCCAAGAGCCTCACTTGGTCATACAGACTAAGCTCTATGAAGCCTAAAACAATGAAACAGCATCAGATGTGTCCACCTATTCATTTCTCTACTTACAGAACAGCAAAGACATTAAAAAAAAGCAAAGAAAATATTTCAGATGTTTGAGACAAAAAGCCATGTGTGCATAGACTGGGGAGAAAAACATTAGATTGGAGTGTTCTGTTCTGGAATCAAGGGTGTAAATCTTGATCAGGAATAAGACATTCATAGGCACGTAACGAGACAAGCGAGGAACTAATGCAAACTTCATAAAGGACCAATCCAATGGTCACAACCATGTTTAGGCCGAAGTTCTCAAACCCTGGTGCCTACCACTAGCAAAGAGCTTCCATTTCAGATGAGACAGGGTTCCAATTCTTCAGACACCATATAACGGAGTATTGACTATACAGGCTGTATTTATTCCTAGCCCTCTTCAGACAGCTGTGTTGTGACCTGAAACATGAGATTTCTACGTCCACTCAAAATTGTTGCTCTCTTGCCTAAAGCACTAGAGGATGTTCTCACAATAGACAGAGCAAGGAGTAAATGGTCTCAAGTTGCAGCAAGAGAAGTTGAGGTTGGATATCAGGAAAACTTTCTTACTAGCAGGGTGGTGAAGCACTGGAACAGGATGCCTAGGCTAAGTACAGACACTCAAAAAGCCCAAAGCTGAATCAGTGCAGTCTTTGCAGGTTAGTCTAAGCTGCACAGATTAAACTGAGAGACAAGTTAGCAGACATCTACCTTTGATTCAGGAAATGCAGCCACATGCCTGCAGTGGCTCAGACCAGTAGCCGGGGGCTGCTAGAGCAGGCTCTCTGGCATGTAGCCAGCATGGGATATGTGTTCACTTCTTCTTCCTGCTGCCCTTGAGGTCTCTGGGATTTCTGGTTCCCAATCACATCAGCAGGACTCTGCAGGGTTGCTCATCACTTCCTCTTCCTGCATCTAGGTACCTCTGGGATTTGTAGTCCACAGTCGCAGCCAGCCATAAGTTTGAGCATGAGAAGAGGCATTTAACCCCCTCCCTGGCCCCAGACCCAAGCCAGGGTTTGCCTTTGGGGGGGTGGGATTCCCCCCTTCCCACCCCCCCACAGACGTGGTTGCCTCCCCACCTGGGCTTGCCCCCCACTTTGTCAGCCAACTCTCACTGCTCCATTTAGGGAGCAGAGGAGTGGGGGCAACACTTCTTTGCTGGAGTAGACAACCCAGCCCAGCCCAGGGCTGATTATGATTTAACTTGAACCTGGAAGGGGTCTGGGACAGAAGTTTCATAAGCCGGTTTGACCCAAATCAGTGAAGTCTGATACTACATTCAACCAGGTTCATCTTAAAACAGTTTCAGCCATCTTGAAACTGATTTATGTGCACTGATCTTCTGTTCTGTTACAGATTTAAAATAGTTTCTGATCACTTAAACTGGTTTATGTGTAACTTCTGTCCCTAGCCATAGAGAGGGGATGGAATCTCCATCTTTGGAGATTTTTAAGGCCTGGCTAAACAAAGTCCTTGCTGGAATGATCGAGCTGGGGATGGTCCTGCTTTGAGCAGAGAGTTGGACTAGATGTGACTTCCTGGGTCGCTTCCAACCCTAATGTTCTGATTCATTAAAACATGCAATCAATTTTAAAATTTGACTGAATAAAAGCACATAAATGAGCCCCAATGATGTGTATCAGGGTATGAACTTACCTTCAAGTAGCTGATGCTCTACAACTAGCTGTGTACATGTTCTTAACTGTGGTGCATAAAAAGGTAGCTTCCCCCTTAATGAAAGTGGAAACAACTGCCTCTCATTTACCATACAGTAAGTTACAGTGGAGGAGCTTTAACCTTGACTTTACTCACAATAATTTGTTCATACGACCATACCCTAAGCTACTGGACTCTATGTCTAGGGTGAGTTTCATAGATCAAGAAACACTGCATAAAAATCATTTCTTTCTAACCATTGTAAAATTTGTTGACTTTCAATTTCAGAATACTCCCTTCTTGTATTAAGAAAAAGGACAAGTAAGAGCACTGAATTTCCACCCCCCCCCCCCCCGGTGCATTCTCTGATTCAACTGCCACATAATTGCCATGTCACTATAGGATTCATCACTTGCTGCATGGTTGTGCTCAAGACCCTGAGCTTTCACTGTTTGTAAAGTATCTTTCTAGACCTTGTTGCTTGAAATAAAATCTTGGAAATGTCTTCCTGACTAGGAACAGAAGTTATACATTAACTGGCTTAAGTGATCAGAAACTGTTTTAAACCTGCAACAGAACAGAAGTTCAGTGCGCATAAACCAGTTTCTAAATGGCCCAAACTGGTTTAAGATAAACCTGGTTGAATGCAGTATCAGACTTAATGGATTTAGGTCAAACCAGTTTATGGAACTTCTGGCCCAGACGCCTTCCTGGTTCAAGTTAAATCAGTTCCCCAGCACCCCAGGATGCTTTGCAGCCCTGGTACTGTCTGCTCAAGCACAGGAGGCTTGGCCCTGCCCCTCTGCTCTCTAGCTAGAGCAGTGAGGATTGGCTGACAAAGGGGGTGGGAAACCAGGCTGGGGATGCAACCTGGTCTGCCTGGCAGAGGTGGAGCAGCCTCTGCCAGACTTTTCCTCCACTGGAGTGGCGGCGGAGTGGGCATGGGCCAGCAAGCTCAAGTGGAAGGGACAGAGGGGGATTTTAACCCCCTCCATGGCCCAGGAGACCCCCAGCCCAAGTCTGTATGCAGGGGAGGGAGGGCTGCCACACTTAGATTCATAGCCTTTAGGGGCAGGAAGGGACCTCCTGAGATCATCGAGTCCAGCCCTCCTGCCATAGGCAGGAAGGCTGCAGGGGTCAAATGATCCCAGCAAAATAAGCATCCAGACACCTTTTGAAGGAGTCCAGAGTAGGTGCTTGCACCACCTCTGGGGGAAGTCTGTTCCAGACCCTGGACACTTGCACTGTAAAGAAGATTTGCTTAAGTCCAGTCTAAATCAGCCTTCCAGGAGTTTGTGGCCATTAGACCTTCTTATCCCTTAGGGAGCCCTGGTGAACAACGGTTCTCCCAGATGCTGGTACACGCCTCTTATATACTTATAGGCTGCCACCAAGTCCCTCCTGAGCCTTCTCTTCTCCGGGCTGAAGAGTCCCATGACCCTCAGCCTCTCCTCATAAAGCCTGCTCTCTTGACCTTTGAGCATGCGGATGGCTCTCTGGACTCTCTCAAGATTATCCACGTCCCTCCTGAAGTGGGGGACCCAAAACTGGATGCAGTAGTCCAGCTGTGGCCTCACTAAGGCCAAGTAAGGCAGGAGGATGACATCTCCTGCCCTCTCCACCCCGCTCCCTGTTCCAGTGGAGAGCAGGGGGTAAGGCCATGCCCTGGCCAGGGCCAGCAGGGTGAGCAAAGAAAGGGGATTTAATTCCACCCCCCCCTCTCCCACCAGCACAGGACCCCAACCAGGGTCTACCAGGCTTTTCCCCCTCCTCCAGTTGTAGGGGGCATGGCCAGATGCTGGCCTGAGGCAAAGGGGGAAAGGGAGAGGGATTAAACCTCCTCCTCCCCTCTCCCACTGGCACAAGATCCCAGCTGGGGTCTGATCCCATGCCAGTGGGAGAGGGGAGTGGGGGTTAATCCCTCTCCCTCCCTACCCTTCACCTCAGGTCTGTGTTTGGCTTGCGCAGCAAGCAGGGAAGAAAAGCCAGGCAGACCCTGGCTGGGCTCTGAGCCAGTGGGAGGGGGAGGAAGGGGTTTTAATCTCCCTCCTTACCCCCCATTGTGTCTCATGCTTCCTCCCTAGGGGCTGGTATCGGGCCATGCCCCCCACTGCTCGGGGACAAGCCTGGCAAGTGCTGCTTCCCCCCTCCCCCTCCAGGCACACCCTGGCTGTGTACTGTGCAGGCCAGGGTTGGGGTTTAAACCCCTCCCCAATCATACTCAGCTCAGCTTCCATCCAACCTTTTGGCCACTGCTACAGCGAAGGGAGGGCTGCTCTAGCACCCCCTGGCTTCTAGCTTGAGCTGCAGCAGGCATGTAGCTTCATTTCAGGAATCAAAACCAATTCACTTGCAAATTGGTTCAATCTACACAGGTTAGACTAACCTGCAAAACTGAAGCAATTCAGGCTCAGACTTTTAAAATGTCTATACTTAGCCCCTGAGTCTTCTCAGAGTCAATGTTTCAAGATATCAGAAGTATAACCTCCGCCATTTTGCTTAATGGAGCATTAACACTGAAACTTAGATGACATTTTTAAGCCTGTTGACGTCTCAAAAACAATTGGCTGCTGTGCTTATCCCAAACCACTTCCCATGCAAAAATTTCCAATTGCCCATGGCCACCAAAACCTACAGGTTCACATTCTGACATTATCTACAAAATAAGCATTGTTAATACAAAAAAATACATCTTGAACAGTAGGGCTGTGCGAGGCTTCAGACAGCTTCAGATCCAGAGAAGCTTCGGATGCTTCGGGGTCCCAAGCAGCACATCCGGATCCAAGCACTGGCCTTGTTTGGCTTCCCGAAGCGGTTTGGAGCTGCCTCGGAGATCCGGCCATAGGGTATAATGGGGAAACAATAAAATATTTATAATTTTGTTGTTTTTTGTCCGATTTGGATGAAATTTTCAGGGATGGTAGACTCTGAGAGGATGAAGCCTACCAAGTTTCAAGACAATCGGTGCAGGGGTTGGGGGGGAACAGCACCCCAAATTCTTGAAAGCAAAACTCATGTCACATCTAGGTGTTACAACATAGCGGGCTAAAAACTGCAGGGGTGGTAGCTCTTACTGAGGCCACAAAGCCTTCCAAGTTTCAAGGAGATTGGTGCAGCTAGGGGTGCAGGGCCCCAGAACCCCCCTGCACCAATCTCCTTGAAAGCTGGCAGGCGTTGTGGCCACAGCAGGGGCTACCTTCCCTGCAGCTTTCACCCTGCTGCGCCTTAACACATGCAGGGTGACCCATGTCTCAAGTTTTGCCTGTCAGCAGCTTGAGGGGCAGTTCCCCCACAACACCCTACACAGATCTCCTAGAAACTTGGCAGGCTTTATGATCTCAGTAAGAGCTACCACCCCTGCAGTTTTCACTCCTCTGTGATGTGACACATAGCCGTGACATGAGTTTGGCTTTCAAGAATTTGGGGTACAGTTCCTCCCAAACCCCAACACCGATATTCTTGAAACTTGGCAGGTTTCATGCTCTCAGCAGAGGCTACCATCCCTGCATGTTTCAATCAAATTGGACAAGAAACAATAAAGTTATTCATATTTAATTGATTCCCCCATTATACCCTATGGACGGATCTCTGAGGCGGCTCCGAAGCTTCGGAGCCGCTTTGGCCGGATCGAGGCAGAAACCCGATCCAGAGCTCTGGATCAGATCACTGCCATCCAAAGCAGCCAGATCCAAAGCCGAATCAGATCACTCCCGACTCTCACAGGCTTATTAAACAGCACATGTTGTAAAAGCATAAGATAAATCCAACATCAACCTAAACAGCAGTGGTTCCTGTATGGATTGTATCGTTCATTTCCATATTCAGTTCAATAAGTAATCCAATTCTTAAGTTGATGCTAGCACAGAATTTCAACCACAGGGTCAGAGAATCCAGATCCAATTGTCTGAGTACACAGGACCTTATGGATACAGTTCAATATTTTGTATGGCTATCATGTGCCATATTTCAATGCGTCTTCTCTAAACCAAGAGATTTAGATGAGCCAAGAGTAGAAAAGACAAACAATTCTAGCGGATGGGTGCCATAGCAAACATGTAGTAAGAACTTTTGTCATAGCAAGTATGACTCTTGTATGAGACTTGTCATGGCAATACTCCCTAAAATAAAGCTACAATATTAATAAAATTAAAAATATTGTAGTATCAATGCTACATCCTCACTTGCAATACTGCCTTCAGTTCTGGTCACCTTGTCTCGAAAGGAATGTGACAGAAATACAGGAGATTCAGAAATGGATGACAATAAGAGGCATCCTTGGAAATTGTTAAACAGCCTGAATGACAGTAGAAATGACTGCACCTGCTTTCTGATAAGTTAAACTACCTACCTCAAAAATATTCAGCTTTTAAAGTAAAAAACTCATGATCTAGATTTCTGAGAGGCTAAACTGAGAACTTTATTTTAACTCAATCATGTCAGACTAACCTAATATCTTTCTATGATAGGATAACTGTCTTAGATAAGGGTAGTACAGTGGAATGAACCTCTCTTGAGGCATTTGGTACTCTGTCTCACAGGACATGTAAGGTGGAGAAGATGGGGATTAATACTAGAACTGCAGGAGCTGACAGGGAGACAATAAGTTATCCTGAAAGCATGGAAAAAAGTTACTTGGGGTGTTCCTCAGGGATCAGATATGAGCCCACTCTCTTTTAAATACCTATTTTAGTGACCTACATTGGTGCATGCAGCAGGACTACAGTAATGATTATTCCTTATAAATACATTCAGTTGTACATACTAAGGAAAGAGAAAAACTAAGTTAAAGAAAAATGCTGGTACAAGGTCAAATAGGGATAAATGGGTCAGGAAAAATGCTAGACCATACTGGGTACTGAGTGAAAGGAAGCCAGCCACAAGATGCTAAATGCACAGTGGCCTAACACTACTGTACAGTAGCATATTAGCACTGTTTCTGATGTGACACGCTACCGTGCAGTAGTATTAGGCTACTGCGCATTTAGCATCTTGTGTAGACGCATCCTCCGTGGCAAAATAAGCCTGGATGATAACATGAAAACTAAAAGGGATTTCTTATCCAGCTGCCCAAGAGAAAGGGTCTAACTTTTTAGCCTGGACCAAAGGCCTCCACCATTTA